TCGACGCCGCGGACGAGCGGCTCTACGCCGCGGCGGCGCGCCGCGTCGACCGCGACTGGGCGCGCTTCGGGCGCCGGGTCTCGGCGTGCGCGGCCTGCCGCTTCGGCGCCGCGCGCCGCGGGCCCGGGCCGCCCGCGCAGCGGGCCGGCGGGGCCGCGGACGCGCCGCGCGACGCCGGGCCCGCGGCGCCGCCCGCCGAAGCCGCGGCCGCCGCGGACCGCGTCGTCGACGTCCGCGCCCGCGGCGGCCCCTACGGGCTCCTCGCCGGCGCCCTCGCGCTCGGCGCGCTCCTCGGCGCCGGCCTCGCGGCGGCGCTGGCCGCCCCGGCCGCCGCCGCGCCCCGCGTCCTCGGGGACGTGTAGATGGCCGCTCTTTTCCCTTGCCCGACTCGGCGACGCGCGAGGCCGGCAAGCCGGGGGCGGCGCCTAGGGGCGGCGGCGCGTTCTGCCCGACGCGCGGCGCGGTGTTATGTGCAGCGCCCGGGGGCGCTCAGGCCGCGAAGACGTTCGCGTAGTCGACGGACGCGTCGTCGTCGTCGTCGCGGGCGCCCGGCGGCGAGGCCGAGGGCTCGGACGCGGAGAGGAGCGACTCGAAGCTGCTCGTGCGCTCCATGAGGGCGTCGTAGAGGGACGCGGGGGACTGGCCCCCCGGCGACGCGTCGCGCGGCGGCGACTGGCCCGCGGGCGCCGCGTCGCGCGGCGCCGCCGCGCGGCCCGCGCGGAACGCGCCCCGCGCCGCGACGCGCGGCGCGTCGTCGCCCGCCGGCGCGGCGCGCGGCGGCGGCGGCGGCGGCGCGTCGCCGATGTCCTCCGCGAGGCGCGCCTCGATGCGCCGGAGCCGCGCGGGGTCGAGCACGGGCGCGCCCGTGTCCGCGTCGACGACGTCGAAGGCGTCGACGGCCGACGGCTCGCGCGCGTCGGGCGCGTCGACGGTCGTGATGCGCGCGCCGACGACGCTGAGGCTCAGCGCGTCGAGGCTCGCGGCGATGGACGCGAGGAGGCCCGGCCGGTCCGGCGCCGCCACGCGGAGCGTCGTCGCGCGCGGCGCGTCGGCGCCGGCCGCGGCCTCGAGCGCGCGCCGGAGCTCGTCGCGCGCGCCCGCGCCGAGGCCGCGGCCGTCGGCGGCCGCGACCTCGAACTCGTCGCGGCAGCCGCCGCCCGGCGCGGCCTCGCAGCGGCAGCGGACGACG